TGGGAAGTGAGAATAGTGAGTTCAAATCTCAACTCCGTTGGTAATCAGCTGTATGCCCCTGGGCAGATTATTGTTCTCAGGATATTACATGAGATAATCTCCATACAACTCTTGGCACAGTACCAGTATATATTAGGTATTCGATGAACACAGAAAATTAAAAGGCCTGTTAGATAATAGACTTTGTATTCTAGGGCATACAAAGAATAAGTAAACTCTGGCCCTCAAAAAATTTATAATCTAATCAGAAGCCTAGTGCACGAATTCGTGATCAGGTGGGGTCCCTTGGCCTGGCCAGCAATCAGGCTGTCTCACCCAGTCCCAATCGGTCGGACCTCAGCAGCAAGCTAACATACCAGTTGGAGCATCTGCCCTCTGGTGGTCAGTGCATGTTATAGCAACTGGTCAAGCAGTTGATGGTCAGACACTTACTATGTAGTAGCATATTAAGCATTTGCGAGTGTGTGTGTATGTGTGTGTGTGTGTGTGTGTGTGTGTGTGAATGAGATGAACTACAAAAATAATTATAAGAAAAAATCTCATATTTTTTCTCAAAGAGAGTTATAATATGCAGTCAGAGTTCAAATAGTAATTTGAGGTTTGGAGGCCATGGAGTGGGATTGGAGGCTGGGGAAAGTTTCATGGAGGAAAGCGGCTTTTCGGAAATGTCTAGACTAAAGAGTGAAAGCTTCAGGGGAGAGTCCCACTTTGGCTGAGGGCAGATAAATGGTGAGAAAAGGCCTGGAGAGGTTAGCCGGAGGTAAACACGGGGTTGAATTGAGCAGAGGATGTGGGCAGAGGAGATGCCCTGCTGGAGGCTGTCCTTTAGGAGGATCGCATCGGGAGTGGTTGCAGAGTAAATCACAGCCACAGAGGAGATTCGTGCGGAGGTAAATGAGGAAGCCATTGCATTGTCTGGACAGAGTTAGGGACCTTCATGGGGGCGAGGGCCCTGGGAATGACAGAGAAGGGGGCAATGCAACAGGACTCAGAGAGGAAGACATCTCCCAAAGGGCACCTCTTCTCCCAGTTGGCTTTTGCCTACCCTCCTCTGCTTTCCTTAAAACCCAACCCTATTTCCTTTCTTGTATCCTCTCCTCTTCCATCTGAGGCCAACCCTTCCACTGGTGTGCTGACCCATGGCTTCCTCTCCCTTATGGACTTCCTAGAAAGTGTTTCCTCTATTCTCACATCTTCAAGCTCTGACTCCATGGGCTCTTTCCTGCCTACAAACATACCCAGATCGCTCTCCCTGTGAAAGAACGTCCCTTGGGCTTTTTCTATTCTTAAGCAACACTTTAATTTCTCTCTTACCTTTTGCTTCCAGAGTTTTCAAGGAAGGAACTAACTCAAAGATGCACTTCACAGCCTTCACCACATTGACACCTCACCATTCTGAAATTGAACTCTCACCCTACAAACACTGCAGAGTTAGCATGGACCTCTTATATGGCAAATCCAAATCTCTCAGTCTTCTATCCATTTAAATGCTGTTGAGTGACACTCCAATTCCCACTTCCCACCACTTTCTGTACCTGACTCTGGAAACAAGTGTTCCATTTCCCTCTTTTCCCTATCTTTTCCTTCTCACCCTCTTTGATGCCTGTGGCCCTGCAAACAAAGCTGCTTTTCATTGTTGTGTCCTCATCACTCTATACCAGGAGTGAGCAATCTTTTCTTGCATGAGGTTAAAGAAGAAGAAGAATCAAATAAAAGAGTAATATGCAAATTGACTGTCACTCCAAGACACAAGATGGTGGCCCCCATGTGGTCAAAGAATGGCTACCCCCATGTGAACACAAGTTGGCCATCAGAAGCTGGCCAGCAGTGGAGGGCAGTTGTGGGCAGTTAGGAGTGACCAGGCCAGCAGAGGAGGGCAGTTGGGACAGATCAGGTCAGCAAGGGAGGGCAGTTTGGGGAGACCCAGGCCTGCAGGGGAGGGCAGTTGTGGGAGGGACCAGGCCTGCAAGGGAGTGCAGTTGTAGGTGATCAGGCCAGCAGAGGTGGGCAGTTGGGGCAGACCAGGCCAACAGGAGAGGGCAGTTAGGGGCAATCAGGCTGGCCAGGAAGCTGTTAGTCATTGATCAGGCTGGCAGGGGAATGGTTAGGGGGTGATCAGGCTGGCAGGCAGAAATGATTAGGGGCAATCAGGCAGAGGCAGGTGACCAGTTGGGAGCCAGCAGTCCTAGATTGTGAAAGGGATGTCCAACCGCCTGGTCCCCATCCAACTGCCCTCCCCTGTCCAATGAGCAGTTGGACATTCCTCAAGAGGTCCCAGATTGGAGAGGGTGCAGGCTGGGCTGAGGGACAACCCCCCACCCCCACCCCCTGCACAAATTTCATGCACCAGGTCTCTAAGTACATAAATATATAGCTTAAAAATTCATCCATATCTTTATTTATTTATAATATATTTAATAGAATAACAATTAGAACATGAGCACTATATTATGGCTCCTAAAATATTATGCAAGACATAATTACAAGTAAACTAGCAACATGGAAGTAACTTTCCAATCTTTCTTCTTGAAATTATGCAAAGGTATCCTAGACATTTTGGCTCAGTGGATAGAGCATTGGGCTGTAGACTGAAGGGTCACGGGTTCAATTCTGATCAAGGACATATACCTTGACCCTATGGCATCAAGTTTTTAGTTTGACAATAATATAGAACAAATCTAAATTTTTCTACAAAGTTCTTATTCTAAAAATAGCTTTAAATTTAAGCAGCATTAGTAAGTCGGTTTCCATAATAGAGGTAGAGTCCATAAAAGACATTGTCCACAAAGAGAATCTTGTTTTTTATAGTGACATTCATTTTCTTAAAAATATAGTTTTATTACCACCTCACTATTTTCATACTCATCTCAAACTGGTTTTATTATCTTAAGGCTGCCTGAGGTGAGATGAATGGGTAGCTGTCAATGGTCTTAAACTTTAGAGGTCTTTAAAAAGTCTATCATTGAATTCCTAATTAATTTAAAATATGAAACTTTAACAAACATCTACACTTGTATTAAAAATGCATATGGAGCTGAAACCGGTTTGGCTCAGTGGATAGAGCATTGGCCTGCGGACTGAAAGGTCCCAGGTTCCATTCTGGTCAAGGGCATGTACCTTGGTTGTGGGCACAACCCCAGTGAGGGGTGTGCAGGAGGCAGCTGGTCCATGTTTCTCTCTTATTGAGATTTCTAGCTCTCTATCCCTCACTCTTCCTCTCTGTAAAAAAATCAATAAAATGTATTTTTAAAAATGCATATGGAATCTATAGAAAGAAGATGACAATAATGCTCCAGACTGGGAATACATGGAACTTTTAATTCATCATAGCTCCCTTGCCCCACTCTGCTACCTGCAAGACACTTTCATTTTGCACACCTCCCAGTGCTCTGCTAGTTGATAGGTAGGATGCTTCCCCACTCATACATCACTCAATAAAACCAGTTAGATCTTCAAATTTACTAGACTGAATTTTTATTTTTAACAAAATTCAGTCTAGTAAATTGTTTGTGAGGATCAAATCGAATGCACACGTTAGTGATCCACAAAGAAGGCTTCTGTTTTTATTAATAAAGCCCACCTGTGGGAGCTTGTCCCTGCAACATCCAGACCATACCTCATTTTGCAACAATCACACGCCCGAAAAAGAGGTCCAGAAAGCAACAACGACTGGAAGTGTCTGAGATGATTGGCATTTATAGATGGATGGATCTCAGTCCAATCCTTCGAGGCTGAGGCTTGGGGAGGCTAAGCGTCCCAACTAAGCGCCCCAATAGAGCTTCCGCTACGTCTCCAGGTTTCCTCTCAATGCGCCTGCAGTGCACCCCACTCACCCTACCCGCACGCTGAGCTACCTTTCCAGCGCGGGGTGGGGGTGGGGGGCCCGCGCTGCTGCCGAGTGTCCGCGCGGAGCAGGCTCTGAGGCGCGCGCCGAGGCAGGGCGGGCCGCGCGGGGCCGTGGCGTGAGAAGGGGAGGCGGTGGGCCTGAACCGGCTTTGCGCGCTGGAGCTGTGCACACAGGGTTCTTTTCGCGCGTGAAACACACGTGGAACGAGGCACCCAGAGCACTTGACCCAGCGACTGGCGGAATCGAAAATGTCAAACACGCGCTAGTCCCATGAAGGTAAATAAACGGCAAGGCTGTTCAATACAGGCTGCATGTGGTAACACTAATATATTTAAAATAAGTCAACAGTAAACCACTGAAGAAATATATATATACACCCAAGACGGGCATCATTTTAAAAAATATATATTTTATTGACTTTTCACAGAGAGGAAGAGAGAGGGATAGAGAGTTAGAAACATCTATGAGAGAGAGTCATCAATCAGCTGTCTCTGGCACACACCCTTCTGGGGATGTGCCCGCAACCAAGGTGCATGCCCTTGACCGGAATTGAACCTGGGACCTTTCAGTCCGCAGACCGACGCTCTATCCACTGAGCCACACCGGTTTCGGCAAGACGGGCATCTTTTGTATTAAGAAAGGAAGCATTGTAAAATAAAAAAATAAAAAAAGGAAAAAAGAAAAAAAAAGAAAATGCCAAACACTGGAGGGGCGGGGCGGGGCGGGGCGGGGCTGGGAAAGTCGGGGAGGGCGGGGAGGGGCAGGGGGCGGGGGGCGGAGCTGGCTGGGGCGGAGCTGAGAAAGCCGCGGAGGGCGGAGCAGACCTGGGCGGGGCGGGGCGGGGCTTGGGCAGACAGGGGCGGGGCTGGGGCAGACCGGGGCGGGGCTGGGGCAGACCAGGGCGGGGATGGGAAAGCCGCGGAGGGCGGGGCAGGAGGCGGGGCGGGGCAAGGAGGGCGGGGCTGGGCGGGGCTGGGAAGCCGCGGACCGGGCAGGGGGCGGGGCTGGGAAAGCCGCGGAGGGCGGGGCTCCGCGGGAGAGCGGCCAGCTGGGACCGTAAAAGGCCGGAGCGCGCGGGGAGGTGTGGCTTTGCGTTCGTGACCCGAGCCTCGGTCCCTGTGGCCGTCTTGCCCTGAGCTGCGGCCTCTCCGCCATGGGCGCCGTGTGGTCCGCCCTGCTGGTCGGAGGCGGTCTGGCTGGGGCGCTGCTGATCTGGCTGCTGCGGGACAAGGGGAGGAAGGGGGACGCGGAGCGGGAGGAGGACGCCGCTCTGGGAGGCGATCCGAGTGGCGGCAGCGGACTGAGCCCGGGACCTTCCCGGCGGGAGCCGATCACCAAACCAGGTGCCGTACCGTCCTCTCCGAGCCTCCAGGGCAGATCTGCCAAGGGCTCTGAAATTCGCCGGGGGAGGAACATGCCCCCTGGAGCACTCGTTTCCAGGGACGAACTACCCCCCCCCCCCGATAGGGCCCGCCCCACGCCCAGTAGCTCCCGTGCCGGGACTCACGCACCCGCAGGGTTCCTCGCCTTCTCCCCAAGCCCTGGGACTGCCCTGGCGGTGCCTCCAAGGACGGCGCCCCTCCTCGCCTCTGTCCCCCCCGGGACCGACCCTGGGGACCTGCCCTGGTCCCTCTCGTGGGAATGGGCTCTGCCCAGCGGCACGAGGTGCAGTGCGGACGGCTGCAGTGGCGGCGCCCCTCCCTCCGGGACTCCGGAAAGGAGTGCTGAGGTTTAGGGGGACCCATGCCACCCTCTGCAACCTCTGACGGAGCAGGGACATTTTCTCAGTCTATGCCTCACGCCGCCGTGGAAGAGCTGGGCTTGGGAGCACCTCCCGCTATCTGGATGCTTCTGTCTGGAAGGCAAAGTTCAGGTTGGACGCTGGCCAGGAAGGCTCTGCGGGCCCTGCCCCAAGCTCCCCGCAACAGCGCTGGGCTGTCTAACCCTGGGGGAAAGGGCTGAAAAGGGGTACTGAATAGGGGACCCAACTCTGAGGAGTGGAATTGGCGTGCAGGTCTAAATCGCTGCGTTTTGGAGAGGGCATGCTGGGTGCAGTAGGAACACTGGCAGGAAACCTTACTTTCCAGTGTCCTCCTGGGCGAGGCTCCATTGCCTGTCCCGCCTGCCAGCCGTAACATCTGTGAACTTGAAGGTCTGCCCTGTGCCTTTCCTGCGGTTGGTTTGGGGTGGGCAGAGAGCTCATTTTCCTTTATCTGATCCCTATGTTTCAGGCGGAAAGATTGGGGAATTCAGAGTAATATTTGTTTCCTCTTACTTTCAATCCCACCATTAAAGAGAAAATTAAAGACTACCTTTCCTCACACCCTTCCATACCATTCAATAAAACCCCACCTGGGCCCTGGCCAGTGTGCTTCAGTTGGTTTGCTTTTGTCCAGTGCACAGGGAGGTTGCTGATTCAAGTCTCAATCAGAGCACATGTTGGGTTGTGGACTCCATCTGTTGCATCCCCACTGGGTCATGCTGATTGATGTGCCACTTTCACATTTGATGTTTATCTCTCCCCCTCTCCCTTCTCTCTTAAAAATCTATTTTTTAAAAATCTTAAAACAGCCCTAGCTGGTTTGGCTCAGTGGATAGAGTGTCGGTCTACAGGCTGAAGGGTCTCGGGTTTGATTCAAGTCAAGGGCACAAGTCAGGGTTGCAGGCTCAATCCCCAGTTGGGGGTGTGTAGGAGGCAGCCCATCCATGGTTCTCTCTCATCATTGATGTTTCTATCTTTCTTTCCCTCTCCCTTCCTTTCTGAAATTAATAAAAAATATATTTAAATTTTTTTTAAATCTTAAAAAACAACAACAAAACAAAAACAAAAACAAAAAACCCCCTATCTGTTATGACTGTTATGACTGGAGATTTTGATCTTGTAGGGAACAATTTAGACTATCAAGAAGGTGACCAAGAAGGAAACTGAGTCTTTAGAAAGCTTGGATTGTGTAAAGAACATTTTTTAAAGCAGAGTGTGAGGGGGTGTAAAAGACCAATGGTTTGTTGAAGAGCTTCCTGACACACATGGGATTGGCAAGGAGAGAATAGCTCTCTTCTGCCACCCTGCCCCCAGCTCCTGCCCATGGCGCACTGCCGTCCTGTGTATTCTCCCACCGGCAGCTGCCAGCACCTGTGAGCGTGGATCCCTGGGCTGCCCGCGGTTCCTGAGAGCACGAGTGCACTCTGGGGTTGTAGGGTAGCCATCCAGCCCTTCACTCCACAGGCTGTACATCTATACTAATAATCTATACTAATAAAAGGATAATATGCTAATTAGACTGGATAGACTGGACATCTTTCAGACGCCATTCCGGACATCCTTCCTGACAAATCTGGGGTCTGGGATCCCAGGTGCCTGCAGCCGGCTAGAGGGAGGGAAGCCCAGACCCCAGGTGCAGGGCTGAGGCAGAGGCAATTAGGGGGGATCAGGCAGGCAGGCGAGCAGTTAGGGGCAATCAGGCAAACAGGCAGAATGGTTAGGGTGATCAGTAGGCAGGCAAGCAAGCCGTTAGGAGCCAGCAGTCCCAGATTTCGAGAGGGTGCAGGCCAGGCTGAGAGACCTCCTCCAACCTGAGCACAAATTTCGTGCACTGGGCCTCTATAGTCTTTTGATATCAGGAGCCAAACAGCCTGACGTGGGTGCATGCCAGCATGGCCTGGAATGCGGAAGGTGAGGACCTGTTCACTTCTTCCTGTACACGTGCCACTTCCTCGACACTTCCAGATATGCCTTTTATTGTTGGGTACACATGCATATTCTTAGCACACAGACTGTACTGGGTCCCTGTCTGAACTAGGCGTTGAGTACTTGATGTTAGTAGGGATAGATTTTGTGAACTGCAGATGGGTTGGTGGTAAAATCTTCAATGTTAAACCTGCTTTCTCAGCCCAGCTTCACTTCTTCTCATGAGAACTGACTGTTACATTCTGTCTTTATAGAGCTTCTTCAAGAAAGCAATGGGTGTTTGGTCTCAGAGACCAAAGGCCCCAGCGGCAGCGTGCAGGAAGCAGTGTGGAGACTGCAGAGTTCCCCTGGAGAGCATGCTCCTTTTGAATGGCTTCCAGACACACAATCTCTATCCACATCTGCGACCGGAGGCTATGTAGGAGCATCAGGCAATGAAAGCCGTGAATCCCCTAGAGGAGAATGGGGATTCCAAAAAGGACAAGAGCTACCTGCAAACGTAGCTCCATGTTTTGCAGAGACATTGCTTTCTAGCAGCCTGCTCGTGGACAGCGGTCAAGACGGCGTGGGCCTCGCCCAGCTGGACAGACAGGACTCGGAGGACTGGGAGATGGTGTCCAGGCACTCGTCCTGGGGAGATATCGGTTTGGGTGGCAGTGTGGAGGCTCCCACGTTAAGCCCGAGCCAGGGGACAAACTCTGGCAGAAACCCTCTTGCGGAAGCGAGTGGCCAGGAAGTGGTGGTGAAGACAAAACGGGCGGTAGTGATGACTTCAGAGCCTCCGCAAGTCAGTGTCAGGTTCCAGGTCCACTACATCACGAGCACGAGGGTGCAGTTCGTGGCGGTCACTGGAGACCACGAGAGGCTCGGGAGGTGGATCTCTTACCTCCCCCTGCAGTACAGCTCGGGGGGGCTCTGGTCCCGCTCCGTCTCCCTCCCGGCACAGACGGTGGTGCAGTGGAAGTTTGTGGTGGTGGAGAACGGGGAGATCACTCGCTGGGAAGAGTGCAGCAATAGGCGGCTGGAGATCGGCCGTGAGGACGCCTTGGTTCACAAGTGCTGGGGGATTCACTGAGGCGGCTCGCAGGGCGATGATGAGGGAACAGGTTGCAGGATGTGGAGGGGGCTCAGGTTGTGGAGCACACTGGATAACTGGAAATAAAGGAAGTGTGAACTCCACGTGTAGCCGAGTGGTTTCAGATTTGCTAGTGGCTGTTGTTTCATGTGCAGAAATGCATACGTGGCTAATGCTTCCAGGGAGCGTGGGCTTTTTCTGAGGCCGGGGTGGGCGGGTTATGCTGACCCATCCGTACTTCAGGGCGTGGTCCTCTTGGGGAGTGGCTTGGCTGAGCGTGGCCAGGGAGCACAAAAGCTAACCAGATGCACAGGAGCCTTTGGGTGATTCTTAAACCGGGAAGGGGGGGGGGGGGGAGTGAAACAAGTTGATGTCCTCGTGGTGCAGCTGGAAAAGCGTGCTCTTTACTAATGTACTATGTGGTACACTTTATGTTTAAAAATAGTCACCACCATATGGAACTGTGAGCAGAAAACATCTGGTCACTGGGTGTGACTAGGAAGGTTATGAGATTTCCCAGTGTTTTTGGCTTGGTTTTACCTGCCTGGTATGGTGGGAAGGTAGCAAGCATGCCTTTGTCGTGCGATCGAAGGCTAGTTAGAAACAGGGCCGAAGCAGAGCCCATCATCAGGAGCGGCCGGAGGAGAGGGAACAGAAATGGGGTTGAGGTGTGGGCTGAGCCAGGCCTGAATGGTAGCTCTGGGAGGTTCAGGCAGGCGCACCTGACTGCAGGAGGGACACGCCCATCGTTTCCTCCTGGGCTGTTGTGGAATCAGCGGTGCCCAGGCAAGGACCACAGCAATGCTTTCACCTCCTCCCCTCTCCTTTACCAAAGTAGCAGGCCAATGAGAGAGAAATGTGTCTTTGCTCTGAGAAGAAATAAACATCAAACCTTGCTATTATAACCCCCCCAAAAATAAAACCAGAGTTTTAATATATTTATTAAGTGCCTAGATTATTTGTCTAAATCTTGGTACCATTAATAGCTTTGATGTAAAATAAAATACTGATGTCTTCCTTCATTAATAACAGACGGAGAGAAAAAAGCAAACATCAGGAGGCACGGAAGTCTGTTTCACTCCTCTCTTTGGAGACAAAATTTTAGAATATTTCTTGTGAAACTGTACCTTTGGAGAGATAATATGCATGCCTATACTTGAAAATAACTCACATGTTAAAGCAACTTTAAATAAGTGTAACACCTTTTGGCGAAACATTAATTTTGGTTACAGATGGTCTTTGCAGAAAAAAAGCTTAAACCCAACTGAAAATAGTGTCAGGAGGTGCTTAAAAGAACTATGTTTGATGGTTTGGCTCCTAGCATTATTATGTTAAGTTGCCATGTACTTCTTATACTTAATAATTAATTCAACATTCTACTAGTGAGGCATTTCCTGTTACTGCCAGAATGCCCAAGCATTTCTATTTGGTAAAATTAAAGGTAAAACAATTTATAACAAAACTGTTATTAGCCATTTTATGGTTACCCAATGAAATAAAAGTTAATCTTTCAGTAAATCCAGTTAATTTAAGAGATACTTACAATACTACATTTCATCTTTTAAAAATTCATTAAAAATTGAACCGCTTAGAGCACTAACACGGTCATTTAGAGGAGAAACTTGAAAAGTGTGTGTGTGTGTGTGTGTGTGTGTGTGTGTGTGTGTGTGGGCGGGGGAGGGGGAGAGTCCATATGCCCTCCTAGTTTATTGCCTGGACAGGCTGGCACTTGCCGCTACACAGGCACCATCCCTGCAAGAAGGCTGCAGCATCAAGTTTATTTCTAGGGAGAGATCAACCAAATGACTTATGTGCATACATATGAGCCTAACCAGTGGTCCAGGACAACAGGGGGGTGGGGTATGAGTGGAGAGGGGTGGGGGATTGGAATGGGGGGTTGAGGACAAATATGTGATACCTTAATCAATTAAAAATTAAAATAAAAAAAACACACACAAGTTTATTTCTTCTCACAAAACAAACAGTGGGCACTGGGTTTTCCTGGCAGGAGGGCAGTCTTGTAGAGATTGTCACCAGGCTCCTTCTACTCTCCTGTTCCCAGGGCCTCCCTGCCCTCGGTAGCCAGCCCATGGAAGGGAAATGAAATGGAGAAACCAGGAAGGCTTACTAGGACGCAATTGCTCTGTCCACAAGCAATGGTGGAGGTGCCTATAAGGGCAGCGGGCTGGGAGACAGCCTCCAGCTGGGCAGCTGTTTCTCAGTGAGGTCTGTGCCAAGCAAGGAGTGGGTGCAGACTGTCTGGGACAGCCAGCCTTCTGCCTCATGGACCCTGCTGTCTTTGGCACAACTGAACATTTTTGTACATGTTTTCTCTTTTTGCTTGGGTCACACATGTGGTATGATATGGTACAATAGAGGCCCGGCGTGCGAAATTCATGCAAGGGGCTCAGCCCCTGCCACCGTGGCAGCTGCCGCTGCCTCAGCCCCACCTACCACAGCAGCTGCCCGTGGTCCTTGTAGCCTCAGCTTCATCCTGAAGGACATTCGGTCTAATTAGCATATTATGCTTTTATTATTATAGGTAAGTATATTTAGTCTTTGTCCCAGGTTCCTGGCACTGAGCTCATCAAACCCTTGGGATTTCCTGAGACCTGGGACTGTCTTGTTATTCTCAGTGAGGCCCTTTAGGTTACACTTGAGTTTACACTAATGAGGACATTTATGGGGGAGCCCCTACATAGCCCTGGGGTGAAGCTGGTCACCAGAAAGTAGTGGTGATTAGAGGTTTGGAACTTTCAGCCCCTCCTACCAGTCTGTGGGATGGGGTGGAGGACAGGAAGATGAGCTCTAAAAACCCTTGAATTAATAAAGTACCCAATAAAGATGATTTGGTCAACCATGGACCAAAGACCGAACTGGATTATAATGGAACTGGAAAATACCTGTCACCTAGTGAGGTGGTAGCCATCCTCACATCACAGCATAACTCACGTGCTTGTGGTGATGCTGGTGTGAGCAAACCCACCACGCTGCCCATCGTGTAAAAGGACGGCACATTCAATTAGGCACAGTCATAATTCTTGATAATAAAAGACGACTGTGTTACTGGCTTATGTATTTACTACACTATACTTGTTATCACCACTGCAGAACGTACTCTTTCTGTTTATAAAAAGTTCACTGAAAAACAGTATCCCTGTTACACTGGCAGCAGCCTCATCTCGTGTTTACTGACTCTCTTGATTGCATCATCTCTCTTGTGCTTGATTTACTCTCATGCTGTTTTATAATTTCCGTGTAGTCTAAGTGTACAGGGTTTATAAAGTCTATAATGGTGGACGGTAGTCCTGGGCCACTCACTCACCGACTCACCCAGAGCAACTTCCAGTCCTGCAAACTCTGACTATGGCAAGTGCTCCCTACAGGTGGCCACTTCCCATCTTTTATATCATAGTTTTCACATTTCCACTGTACCTTTTCTATGTTTAGATACACAAGTACTTACCGTTGTGTTACTGTACTGAGTACAGTAGCGTACTGTACAGGCTTGTAGCAATAGGTACACCATATAACTCAGGTGTGTAGCGGGCTGTATCTTCTTACCCATGTGTGTGATGTTTGCACAATGATGAAATGCCTCAGAATGTATCCCTGTTGTCACAGCAGGAGATTGTCAGGAGACTGAATGAGCTTTGGGTGAACACACTGGCGTGCGGGGAGGCGGCACAGCCTGAGAGGGCGTGGAAGCTTCCTGCACCAGATGCACCCCCTGCCCTATGCGTCTCTGACATTTGGCTGTTCCTGACTGTTTCCTTTATGATAAACCAGTAATGGTAACTAAAGCACTTTCATAGGTTCTGTGATCCACTCTAGCAAATTACCGAAACTCAGGAGGAGGTGTGGGAGCCCCCACTTTAAAACCTGTCAGTCAAAAAGTCCAGGGGCCTGGGCCTTTCGGTTGCCACCTGCACTGGGAGGCAGCTGACCTTACCCCAGAGAGTGTCAGAGCTGAGCTGGCTTGGAGGACATCAGTCGGTGTCCACAGAGAATTGTTTATTGATGTTAAGAAACACTCCACATACATAACCCCTAATTTGTTAAAATGTAATTAAGGCAGACTGAATCCATTCAATTGGTAGAAGTTACCTACTGACTGAAGTATAATATATGTCTTCTTTCTTCATAGTAAAATGCAAAAGAGAAACATTCCCGGAAGTCTTGATCAGGGGCCCAATATTTTGTTGTCTGACCACAGCTACTGATAATGATAGAACAAACAGTTCAGGGTCACAGCAGGAATCCCTGTCATGTGTCAGTCTGCCCTGTTCCGGGCATTATACCACATCTCACTCCCATGTAAAGTTGTTTTTTAAGTTGGGAGAAAAAACACACACTATTGCTTCAGCACCAGTAAAAAAAAAAAAAAGAGCATAATTATTCTAGCACACTAGAACAAAGTAATACATTTTAAGTTATGAATACTTTCACAACTAGTATATTTAGTCTGCTTGAAGTTTTACTGGGAGAGCATTCAGGAATAGTTTATTTCAAAATAGAGTTTACAAGACAGGATATCTTTAATTAAAATTTCACATAAAAAGAAAAAAGTTTGCAGGGCGCTATTTATAAGTAACACCACAATTAATTTGGCATCATATCTCTGTAAAGAATAGGCAAGCAACGTGTCACTTTAGTAACATTTTTTCTTGGTCTTTCACTTTCTGTATTCTCTTTTCTTGATTTTTTATCATTGAAGACATTGCTGAAAATGTTGATAAAACAAAGTTAGAATAACAACATTTATTGAGGCTTTAATTCTATTATGTGCTTTTTAAAAGGTCAGCTTGCTACTGTAGAATACATGCATTCTGAGCTCAAGAAGTTCTTAAAAATGCAAAGTAGTATATTTTTAAAAAGGTGTGTTATGGAACAGAGCTAAGGATAAATCTCTTCTAATTTAGTTATTTTAATGAGCACGATAATTATTAGGGTAGAAGTTGTGCATACTATTGTTAATATTAATAATTCGAACACCTCAG